TTCCTGCCTAACCTGTACCAGGCATGTCATAGTCCAGTGTGATGGCCTATCACCCTTCAATCAATCCCCTAGATTTTAATGGAAGGGATGTGACAAACCCCAGCTGAAAAAACACACAGTCCTTTGAAACACTGTCATTTAGTTTGCTTACGTGATTTTGCTTTTGGTGGTCTTTCCACCAGTCCTGGAAAGAAGTGATGCTCAGAGAGGCTGGCAAACGGCACGGAGAGGTTTCCTGTTCAAGGCCAGCATTTCCCACACCACCACTGCCACCAGGGATTGTCCCCACTCAATGGGGACAGCAAAACAGCCCTTTCACAAAGAGCACAAGATTTTGATGCCAATCCATTCCACGGCTTAGGGAAAGTACCTCTGACTTAAAACCATGCCTAGCTTTGGCACAGTTCAAACCAGGCCAAGCATAGATTTTCCCCCCTGAATCAGGGAACTCTGGATTTACAGCCATCCAGGAGAGAAGCCCTGTGTACAAATACCCAGTGTGTTAGCATATTGTTAGTTCTGAAAAATTTGAACTGTTACATTTCAAAGAGATATGTAATGCATAAGCATCTGGGCTCATGTATCTTTCTCATCATCCCTCCTGCCTTGAAGGAAGGTCTTGCTCTCTAAGAATCCAGACAAGAAAAACACTCCAACAAAATGAAAAGCAACCTGGCTGGTGATTTATATAAAAGATGACATCTCCAGAAATCCCAAACTTCAAAGGGGCAGCTTTCAGCTCGTGACTATCCACTTCCTCCAGCCCTCAAGGCTAGTGTCAGGATTTTACAGCCACGAGAATCATTTGATCTCTCCAAATGGCAGCTCAGTGGTCTAGCACACTTCTGGATGTCAAAAAAGCATGCACTGCCACCAGCAATATTCTGCAGGGGTTAGTCTTTGAAAGGACAGATTGAGGTGAAACAATTGAAAGATTCAGTGGCAGGAGGAGGAGGGGGGAAAGAAGGATATTTTAAAGGACAGTCGCATGCTGAGGGACTTTGTGGTCCAGCTTACGCGATGCTGGAGCACAGGGTTGGTGGCACAGAGGGATGTCAGAGGTTCCCAGGTGTGATGGCCATGCCAGCACAGTGCATCCACCTCTAAGGACTCCTCCTCATCTCACACAACAGCCTGTGGCTCCTGCAGGAGGTGCATGGAGTCTGTTTACAGGCTTGGGGAAAGCACACGGGACCGGGTGCAGGAGTACAGGTCTGCTCTGTGGCATCCCAGGGAAGCCACCATCCTCCTCCTCACCCTCCAGAACATGCTGCAAGTCCCAGCCCTCCTCCAGGACATGCAAGGGAGGGGACAGAAGAAGCTGCCAGGATAAGTAATTGGCTGCCTGCTGGTGAGAACTCTTAATTAGAGGCTTTTCAGCAACTAAATGTTTATGTGGAGTTAATGTATTTACTTTGTTGCACACACACTGTAATAACAGAGCACCCTTCCTATGCCTCAGCAATTAGAGAAGTGTATTGCAAACAAACAGACCCACCACCTCCCACGGATGGGCTCACACAGTCCCTTTCTCCACGGCCCAGAGCATCCCTGAGGGATGGGGTGGCCACAGCTTTCCCAGGGCAATGCCGTGGGTGACCGTGCTGCTGGAGCAGGGTCCCTTCGTCCAAGCAGGCAAGAATCTTTCCCCCATCCAGCCCAGAAAACGGAAAATCGAGCCCAGTCTTCACGTTGCACACTGGGAAAAACAGCTCTTTCTAAGCAGGGCACTGAATTGTGCACTGGCTGCAGTTTCTGAACAGATTGGAGATGCTGCGCTGCCGCAGTTTAATAGAGTCAGTATTTATTCCTGTGTGGGAGAAACACTCCATTATCTGGCTTATTAATTGTTAGTTAAGTAATGGGAAGGTGCCCAGAGCAGGAGATGAGCCCTCATCACTTGTTATTAGCTTAGAAACCGGCAGAAATAAAATAACTGAAGATAAATTATCACAAGTGCTGCCCCAAGTACCGCAAACTGACAGATCTGCTCAGAGGGGAATTCGCTGAGCGCTCTCGGGGGGAGCAGGGAAGAGAGAGCAACAGTCAGTCCAACTGGATACTTCTTTTTTTAATGAAAAGATTTCATCATCTTGCATTTTGAACGCCACTTTTCATGGCTGGGATCACATGGATATTCATGGCTGAGAGGGTATATCCCTGCTCCTGCAGGAAAACTCAATTTATTAGTCTATCACTGACAGCTTTTGCATTGGTAGCTTAATGCTGCACAAGAGAAAAAGAGGGGGGGGGAGTTATTAAAAAAGCAACTTGCAGCTGCAAACAGTCTGGCCTGGTCACTGCAGGGCTGAAATAGCCTCAAAAAATACAGGCAACCCCATTATCAGCAGCGGGGCCTGGAGCAGGGATGGGAGTCTCCACAAAATTAGTTTAACAAGGACATCGAGCAGCAGCCAAAAAACTACCAATGAAAAGATATGAGAGTCTGTCTTGAAACCCAGAGAGGTAAAAGCATCCAAGTTTCTCCAACCTTGTGACAGCTACCACACGTAAACCAGTAAAATCCAGCTACTTGTTGGGCATCCACAACCATTTCTCCCAAATCCACCTTTCAGTCATGGCCACAGAGTCTCAATTTGCTGGTCTCCATACAGAGTTTTGAGCTGATTGCCCATTCAGGCAGAGAATTCCTGTCTGTGCACAACGACAGGGAGGGACAGGAGGCTCCCAGCCACGTAGAGAGGAAGGTCTTGGATCCAGGGGCAAGAGTAGGGTGCCCACAGGGACCTGGATCAGCAGAAGCCACCATTCATTTCCAGAGGAAAGCAGAATACCATGATACACAGCATAAAGAAATTTATCCAAACTAATGTATTTTGTGATATAATTCAGAAGAGGCAGAGTTCTAATAAAAAGGAAAGTTAGTTGCTCCAGTCTTTGCAGCCATTTGCTCAGAAAGCTCATCCCAGCAGCCTTTTTACAGCACATGCAATATTTTTACCTGCAGATCTGTAGGTAGATAAAAGGGAAAAGAATAGACCAGGACCCTGAGCCAACACGAGCAGCACACTAACATTATCCAGAAAACAGCTACAGCCAAAGCTTTGGGCTAACCTTGCACACTGGAGCTGAGATTGAACCATCATCTCATCTGGGAGAACACAGAAGCACCTGAGGCAGCTCCCCACACTGCTCCCCAAGGAGGCAGCTCCAAGCAGCAAAATAGACACGGATACTCCAGATTGAGGGTCCAGCCCCAGATTGCTCCTTCCCCGGTACTTTACAGTAGTTAAAAAATTAATCCTAGAATCACAGAATGGTTTAGGTTCTCAGGGACATTAAAGATCATCTTGTTCCACTCCCCTGCCATGGGCAGGGACACCTTCCACTATCCCAGGTTGCTCCAAGCCCCATCCAACCTGCCCTTGCAGGCTTTATTCACGTGGTTCACTTGGTCACTAAACACCAGTGCTCCTAAGGCAGTAGGTGATCTCTGAAGAATTAGTTGTTCTGATTTCATTCTCCATATGCAGAGTTTTCCCCTCCCACTGTCCGCACTGCAGACACACAGCACCCTGAAGTCACCCCCAGAGCCCAGAACGAGCCCTGCTCACACCACAGAGTCCTTTTTCTAAAGAAGGTTTACGAGAGTTGTGCCACTTACCAAGCCTTATCATTTCAGGTAAGCATCTCTTACTCCATGTTTCATTTAATCCCTTCTAGCAATACAGCAATAAACGCTGTTTCATCTGCATCCTGCAACAGAACACCCTAGAGCCAAGCTCATTCCCAAAGGTTTTTGTTTGTGAGAGAAAAACCAGCCCTGGAGAACTCCAAAAACACTGCATCTAGCTCAGCCTCTCCACTTCCATGTGCATCTCAAGGCAAAACAGAAGAATTCTTTAGGAGTAACAGTGCTCTGAGAAACAAATTCACTCAAATCTGCTCCCACATCCACAGTCTCCAGATATTTCTTACCTGCTATCCCACGTCTTCAAGTTTCCCCTAACTTCAGCTGCCAGAACAAAGCAGAAAAGTTTGGGAGTGTCCCACTCCTACTTTTATAAGCTCTTGCAGCCACAAAACTGCTCACAGGTGGGCTAAGCAAGGCAGCCCGATTAGGCCTCCCTAACAAGATCATTTCAGTTAAGTGGATACATGTGTACTTTTAATTTTCTGAAGGCGCTTCCTTTGCTGCATCTTCCCAGAGGGGGTGGTCTACCTCCAAATTGCTTATCAATTGAAGAATGCTTTGCAAACCCTGTATTTTCCTGCACCTATCTTGTAACTTTGGGGGTCTATAACTCATTTGAAAGTGCTGGTGCTTGAAAAGGAGCGCTCTGTTCATGGGGACTACCTAATACCACAGAGGTAGATGAGCTTCAGATGAGATGAAAGGAGACAGACAAGCCAGAGAGAAGCTTTCCTCATATTATCTCTGAATATTGATAATCTGGGTTATTACTGCATCACAGGACTCTTCTCATGGATAAATTGTAAGGTTTATATGTGAAAATACAGCACCTGGTATGAGTATAAATGGGACTTCTCACAAGGGCTTGGAGTGATAGGACAAGGAGAAATGGTTTTAAGTGATAGAGGGCAGGTTTAGATTAAATATTTGGAAGGAATTCTTCCATGTGAGGGTGGTGAGGCCCTGACCCAGGTTGCCCAGAGAGGTTGTGGATTCCCCATCCCTCAAGGTGTCCACGGCCAGGTTGGACAGGGCTTGGAGTAACCTGTGATAGTGGAAGGTGTCTCTACCTGAGGCAGGGGGTTGGAACAGGATGACTTTTTAAGGTCCCTTCCAACCCAATCCATTCTGGAATCCTATGATTTGTTTCTTTTCTGGATTCGGGATGCTCTGTGTCCTAATCCCAGATGGAAACAAGGCTCCCTGGCTGCCATTCACACCTCACCCATGGAAAGTAATCTTATCTCTCTGACTTCTCCCTTCCCAGCCTACCTTGCTCAGCTTCTGAACTTAAGACCATTTTTGCTTAATTAAAAGGTTTTTTTCATCCTTCAGGGGCAGTTAGTGCTGTCCCTGCAGGTGCAGTTGTGTCCCTCTGTAACTCCATCCCATTGCAAGTGCTGGGGGTGGGAAGAGCTGCACTGCAGTGAGTTTGTGCTAAAACTTTTGCAAGGATGTAGCTTAATTGGCTGACAGGTAGAGCTAGACAGCACTGAAGAGATGGAGAGGACTTTAGCATCAGAGGTAGAGCGGGATGTGTGCCAGGAAAAAAAGATCCACGTCAAAGGGAGCTGCCCCAGCTCTTCCTCTCGCTGCTCCAGAGGCGATTTTGTCTTGGAGGAAACTCTCACGTACACCGTGATTTTTGTGAGAGGCAGGGACCAGAAAGGTAGGCAGGATGAAAATCAATCAGGATTTGTCAAATACACCGGAGAACTCATTTTTATGAGATAAGTGCCTTCAGAGGAAGTGTTGGTAGACACCTACCACATGTTCAGCCTACTTAGTGGCAAAGTATGCAACATTAATCACTGTCACTCCAAGGGGCCAGGTTCCAGCTGAACCACCTTCCTCCTTCAGCCATCCTCTTCCCCGCCCTCCCCTCCCAGCAAGAGGAGTTGCATCCACAGACCTGTGAACCTGCAAATCAGGCTGATGCTCTTGGCAGCTGCTGTACCAACCCATCACTTACTTGGTGCTGAGCCGCCTGCTGCGCTCCAGCCAGTTATATGCTGAATGGATGCCCATTTTATTCAAAATAATTAGCAGTGTGGGCCAAAACAGTGTTAGAGCTGCCTCCTGCCTCTTAGCAGATGAAGTTCATGTGCTGCTGTCCTGCTGCAGTGGGACCTTGCCCTTGGAAGCAGCATGAAAGGATTAAAGTGACTGGCTTGGCAAACACCTTTTTCTCAGAAAAATTATCAGCAGGCAGTGGAGATGCTTTGACTGTCTGGGCTGACAGCTGAACTCAGGAAGTCTGTGGAAAGAGTGGTTGGAAAGCAAGAGCAGACCATGGGAATCCAGAGCAGCACCGGAACAGAAGAGCCCTCAAGGACCCAAGTTATTTATGTTATAGAAGAGGAAAAAGTGATGTGCTTCCAGGATGTTATCTCCATCCTCCTCCACCTGGCTCCTGCACCTGTGGAGCATCATATGCTGCTGGGAGGTTTTGTGGTGTCTTACACACACCCATCCTGAAGATGAGTGAGGGGATTTCATCACAGCAGGGTGAGAGGACAGCCCTGTCCTAAGGGGGATTCACAATGGACTTCTCTCTTCCCATCTGTCAACACATTGGCAGGCGGTTAATATATTTTTTTTTTTATTGTTGCACTGCAGATCTTGTTCCCGCATTTTAATAGCCTGATTTAAGGGTCTCAGCTCTTATTTTCGAGGTGTGGCCTCGGGCAGTCACACTGGATAACACCTGATAGGTTAAATATTGCACCTGGGGAGCGAGGGAAACTGGTTTGTGGTAAGAGGTGTGAGGAGCCTGTGGATTGCACTGTTAAGAGTAGAAGGAGAGAAAGAAATGGCTAGGAAGGAATAAAAAGACCCTATTTTCAGGTTTTAAGCCAGTTACCATCTTTAGGGATTAGCTCCAGCTCAGGAGCAAATTGCCCTAAGGCCTCCTGTCACAGGGCTCTGCTCTGCACCACTGCAGCTGTCCTGGGGCCACGGGATTAGGGAGATGAGGCTCCACTGGATCTGTTCCTTGCAGCAATGGTGACATCTGTTGCATGAGGAGACGATCAGGATGACACCCCTTGATTTAATAGAACAGCAAAGAGAGACCACAAGGACCATAAACCCACTTCCACTCCCGCCGTCTCCAGAAAAGTTGAGTCAAGAGGTGCAGCCTCCTGCTCTTGCTGATCCAGGCTCAATTTGCCAGGCAGGGCTTGCTGTGGTTTATTTTTTGCTTCCCCCCTCACCCCTCCATGCATCTGCCCTGCCTCTCAAAGGCTTTCTGCTAGAAGGCTGGAATAGCAGCAGCCCCATGCTCGCAGCCCTTCCCCATATTCCCTTCTCTCCAGGTGACTGAAGATGCTGCCACAATTTTGGGAATACCTTTTTTCCCCCATTTAACATCACAATTGACTTCCTTGTATGTGTGACACCAGCCACGAGTCCTGCACCCAACACAAGAGGCAGCTGCCAGAGCTGGAGGTATACAAGGGCCTTGAGACTCTATTACAGGTGGCCACACAGGTTGCATTTTGGAAAAGGGGATCCCAACTGGACACAGAAGGTGCAAGGGATCTCTGGATCTTTTCTAGAGGAGAGATTCAACTTCCAAGCCATGCTGCTCCCTTCCCTGTGGCACAGACTACCGGTGGAACACACCACAAAGGTGAGAAAATTCGTGTGAGATCCTTCTACACCGGGCAAAGGAAAATAACAGAGCTAAAGAGAAGCAAGACTGAGCAAACACCATCCCCACCTCCCCCTTTCAGGGTTGTTTTATAAGGGCATCTGCAGAATCACAAGAGTCTGGGCTTTTTGGGTTATAAAGGGCCTGTGGTCCCATGGCAGGGATGGCACCAAATCCAGCTCTCCAGAAGCTGCCCAGCAGGAAGGTAACTCCTGTGTGTTTTGGGATCAGTTACCACGTGCTGTGGCAGTCTGGGGACAAGACAGACTTAGAGCAGCACATGTCATCCCACAAGGGCTTTTATGAGCCATCCACTCATAGCTCAGGAGTGAGGGAAGTCTAAAATTAATTCAACAGGTTGTAGCAGTGAGGGCAATCAAGGACCTAGAGCTCCATTTTGTGGAGCTGCTGTCAGCAGAAAAATGAAAGACCATGGCACGACTCTGTGCAAGTCTAGGGCACCAGAAAATAACATACCCAGCATATTCTGTGGTTATTGGACAAGGAGAGAAGGAAAGAGAAGGGAAATTAATAAAACTCAGGCTGCCAATGCCCCAGACTTTTCTTCTCTCATTCTAAAAAGTGGTAAGGATTCTGAAAATTAGGTGGAGTTGATCAGCATTAAACATTTGAAAGTCAAGGTTTTTAACTTGGGTTTATCTTTCCCTCTCAATTCCTACATCAGAGAAAGCAAAAAGATTTTGAATGCCATATATACAAACATTTTTTTTTGCCTTTTCGTTTTTGCTTTTGCTTAGCAGTGAATAAAAGCTTGATTCCTACATCAAACCCTCCAGAGCCCAGTCAGTCAACCCCCTGCCAAGGTTATCTCATGGCTTATAGACTGTTGGAGAAATGGATTGCTGCATGGCAGGAATCACACACAAAATAAACAACACTTATTTATGGGTTCAGGGAGTTCAAGGTATGACTTAAAGTCTGTGGTATCTTCTGGCTTTCTCTGGCTCCAAAAAGGCACAAGCCAGGATGAGCTGAAGTCTTGTTCTCACCCACAGGCACAGGAGCACAGGGGTAGTCAGAGGGCTGTTGTCACCATCTTCCAGCCTGGCTTACCTCCTGCTGTCAGAATTTGGTGACCCCCAGGCAGAGGTGCCAAAAGGGAGGGTGAGGAGGCTCCCTAATCTGCTCCTGCACAATGTCCAACCAAACAGTGAAATCTCAGCTGCTTCTCCTCACTCCTTCTGCTCAGAAGCCAGGGATTTATCCAGAACAAAGGAGAAGCAGAGAAAAAACCCGAAGACTTTGGATACAAGTATTTATTTACAGGTGCTAAATGATTTCTTGATTAATTCTGTAACCTGCTACTCACTCCTCTCCAGCCCTCAACATTCGGCGTTTCATGGGGAAAGTGTTTTGGTTCAACAAAGAGAACTTTCAGGCTGAAATGTGCCTGGTGTGGGCAGCAGGGCAGTAATTGGCTCGAAAAACAAAACAGTCAGGAAGAATGTGAAACTAATCTGAAACCCTTTAAGCCAGATAAGTGCTTTGGTTTGCCATCAGCGCATGTCTAAACTTTTCCAGACCTAATAAAGAAGCATTATTGCTGTAGCAGATGTTAAATGTGAGTGGTACTTCAAGGGGAGGGGGTCAAAGAAATAACATGTATATACATATAAATACAGATACCACAAAAGGCTCTCAAACTGCAGGCTTTCACGCCCCTCTGTTTTACAGTGGGATAACATCAAAATTAACAGGACAATATGAAGGGAGCCAACAAGAAACACGGAGAGAGACTATTTACAAGGGCCTGGAGTGACAGGACAAGGGGGAATGGCTTCACTCTGACAGAGGGAAGGGTTAAGATGGGATGTTAGGAAAGAATTCTTTCCTAGGAGGGTGGGGAGGCCCTGGCCCAGGTTGCCCAGAGAAGCTGTGGCTGCCCCTGGATCTCTGGAAGTGTCCAAGGCCAGGTTGGACGGGGCTTGGAGCAACCTGGGCTAGTGGAAGGTGTCCCTGCAGGGCGGTGGAACTAAGTGATTTTTAAGGTCTCTTCCCACCCAGTCATTCTATGATTCTCGGAACATGTGTTTACAGGAAAGAATGGCTATCCCAGCCTTTCACCAGCAGCCCAAACAGGATTTGAACACAGACTGTCTTCCCAAGTCCTCAGTGTTGCCCTTTGCCCCAAGGAGCACACACAGAAATATGTGGCAGATCCAAGGTTTTGGAGATATTAATAACACAAACAGTGTAAACCATTAGATCAGGCTCCTGCCTGCCAGGGAAAAGCCTGGCTATGGAAGGCCATTGACATCCTGAAATCCTGGGGGTTCCAAGGAGCTCTTTTTAGGTTATTCGTGATTTACTGCATGATATGGGATTCCCCTTTCCAGCCTGGGACCAGCCTTACTCAGAAAGAGTCCTGTGCAATTTATTACCTCTTCCCATCTAAATACAGCAGTACAAAGCAGATAATCAGATCTGTGACAATTTAATTATCACCCTCCTAAGGCAGCTGCCCCATCCTGACCCCGCTGGGGAGCACATGGTGTGCTAAACCCCAGGATTTGGCCAAGATGTGCTGGTAGTTCTGCAACAAAACATCTCCACAAGCCCTCCAGGGACAGCATCCTCTTTCCGTCCGTTGCCTTTTTAATGGGACAAAAAGGATTGAACCTCACACCAGGAATTGAAATAAATGCAAAAAGAGCCTTAAAATCTTTGCAGCACCCCAACACTGGTCCCTGCCTAGGGAAACACATCGAGGGTGAGCCCCTCCATCAGGCCTGAGGAATGCCCTTTTTTTATTGCATCAGGGATGCCAGAGCAGTTCAAGGCACAACAACTCACAGGTAGCAGGAATGATGTGTTTTCTAGAAAGAAGGGGGCAGGAAGACTCCTCTGGCAACATAAGTCACTTCAGATGGTGCTGCTTACAGGCCTCTTCCTTTAAATTGATTAATAATGACACATTCAAATGGACAACATAAATTAATTTCTGAATTGCACCATTAGTAAGTAATTAATTTCTTTGCTCTGTGAAACCAAGATATCACTGTTATCTAAATCTATAAAGAGAAGAAATGCTGAACGAGGACTCCATTAATGTAAAAATTGATTTTTCCATTTACCCTCCTCTCAGGGTTTTTTTTTTTATCTCCCCCTCCCTCCAGTGCATTTATTTTTCAAGTGGCTGGGGGTGGGGAGAGTAACCTAATTTATACTTCCAGTGGTAATCAAAACATCATGCATGCTCATTTCAACCAAATGATGTCATTATGAAGGCTGTTAAAGCTAGGGTTGCCTTGGAAACCCGAAATACTGATAGTTGAGGTCGGACATCTGAGTTCTCAGTAGGCACAGTAATGAGGGAATGGTGTGGCCCTGCCAGACCTGGCCTGACTGGTCATGCTGGGAAGATCACCCTACGTTACACAGATAGTCTCTTTAGACCTTACCAGGCTGCCATTTTTCCTGTTCCTCCCACCACCTGCCATAATCCATTAGTTTTGTGGAGCCAGGAGCAGAGAACCCTCTCAGTCTGACGACGAGCAGAAAGGACAAGGCGCGGGTAGGACCTGCTGGGCCCAGCAGGAAGGACATTCCAGCTAAGGGCTGCGTGCTGCTGGCCACCAGCTGCCTCATTTCTGCTTTGCCACCTCAAAAGACATACCTGGTGCCTCTGCCAGCCTCTTGGTGCAGCCCAGGATGGAGATTTACTGGGGACTCAGGTGGTCTCTGATGATCCAGCTGTAGCCAAGGTGTTAAATCTTCCTTTCCGTACCGAGGGACTCGGTGAATGGTCTAGGACACATCCAGCCTTGGGGTGACAGATCACATGTTCAGCATCTGGAGGGGAACGTGCAACAGGAGAGGGGAGATTTATTTTGGGTGCCCTGGGTTTTCTTGCAAAGGCCAGCAACCTCACAAACAAGCCAAAAGAAGACACCTCTGTCGCCTCTTATAGACCTGGATCCTTCAAAGAGAGGATTCTTTGAGTAAGAGTCATTTTAAAAACAATTCCAGAAATGGAAATGACTTTCTATCTACTACTTAGAGAAAAAAAAGCCTTAAATTTTTCCTCACAGTGAATATTTTCTTGGCCATTCTGCTGAGATGGCTTGAGGCAGCTGTGCCTGGTGTCATGGGGTGGATGGCAAGAAACAGCTGACACCCGTTAGGCAGCAGGTTTTGGGCAGCCCAGGACTTTGGTCCACCAACAGAAAAGGATGCAGAGTGATGTCATGGATTTGGGACAACTCCCTGGGTCTCCTCGGGGAGTTCTGCTCTTCCCAGCTCAAGGTACTGGGAGAGGAAGCTGAGGACTGATTGGAGATGCATTAGTGCTGCCACTTGGGTCCCTCAGCTGTGCCAAGCCACGATTTGACAGCTCCTTTCAGCTCTTTTTTACCTACACTGTCCCAGGAAGAACTCAGTGTCATCTCTGATCACATCACACTGAGCTGAAAGCCAAGTTTAAGGTATAGCTTTGAGAGCCAAGTGTAAGACACAGCCTGAACCACATCTCCAAACACAGGCACTGTATCCACACTCCAAAACAGAGAACTGAGCGAGTTGAATTATTTACAGCAAGTATTTTGGCTGCTTCTTTTTTTTCTTCCCCCTTCTCCTCTTGTTAAAGAGCACGAAACAAAACACACATACAAACAAGTCAATAGGATGAAACATTTACTGTGTGTTAAATGAACTCATTTCAGCTCCTCGATTAATATCCGGATGTCTCCAGTCACTGCCAGCGCTTTTTTCCCTTTGGTGAGTGTGTAGTGACATTAATAGCACCACGTGATCCTTCTCCTCCCTTATAGAGTCACCTTCCCCTTCCATGCAGGAGTTTCTCTTAAGCTTCATCAGTTGAAATTGTTGGAATGCACCAAGAAAAAAATAATAAAAAGAGCATTTCATAACATTGGCAGGAGCATTTCAGGCATGAGCACTTTGAATATTTATTTGCCCTTTGTGTGAGCAATCTCAGCAAGAAAAAGTCAGTGTGAATAAAAGGAATTGCAAATGCCAGCGGAGGAGCTCCGGAGTTCTCATTCACAAGAATATTTGCACAGGCTCCTGGGAGAATTAGCAGGCAAGGCAATACAAAATCTCTTGGAGCATCAACACTTTGGATGCTCCGTAATCCCACTTGTCTGATGAAAAACATCTCTTCCTGAGAGCTGGTTTGTTGTTTGTTTGTTTTTTTTTTTCCTGGCTTGGAAAGGCTGGAGAAGGATTGGAAAATCTGGGAGAATTATTTTTGCCCTGTTTCTGTGTCATAGTGCCTTGTATTCCCTCTGCCTCTCCTCTCCCATCCACTATCACTCCCTTGAGCTGAAATGGGATGAATAAGCTAAACTTCCTTCGGAAGTCCAAAACAAAGGGGGAAAAAGAGATGGACAAGCAGCCAACACTGTTGGAGCCATGGAAAAGCAGGGAACTCACAAGGAGAAGCCTGTCAAGGAGAAATTTAAGGCAGAACTTTATACCACAGCTCTGGATTAGACAAAATTCCACCTGCGATCCAAATGAGAACAAATCATTAAGGAACAGAGCCAAAACATCCTTCTGCTTGAAAAAGACAAATCAGGATAGCAGCATCCGCTGAGTTTTAGGGTCAGCAATAAAAGAATGGGGGCTATTTACTCATAATTAGCCTTTATGGGCAAAAAAATCCTGCAGAATTTCATTCTTGCCACAGGATTTTATAGGGTGGTTCAGAAACTTATCAGAAGGATATTTTCTTGCCCAGGTTTTCAGAGCATTTCTCTAGAACCCTGTTGGTTTCAGCCCTGTTAAATTCAATAACTTCCTTAAGGGAGTGCTTTAAGTGTCAGGCTTGATTCAGTTATATGAAGGGATAAGGGAATAATCATTAGACAGTGCACAGGGATGGGAGAAATGGTTTTGTGTGGCACCAGTCTTATTTAAGAACAGTCTGAATTTATAGATGAGGCTGATGAGAAAGTTGGAAGCAACTAATACAAGCATAAAAGACAAAAGGCAGGCAATGCATTCAGAGAGGGCTGGGACCAACTGGGAGACCACAGAGACACGAGGATGGTTCCAGAGGAGTATTTTAAGTGTTTTTAGATGTTTGCCTTGGTTTCATCAAGATGATGTCCTATGTACTCTTCCTGCCATTCATAATGTAAGCTATGGGCACTAGAGTTTATGTAAGAGGCTGTGTTGCTTGCTTTGCAATTAACACATCCTGCAATTAACAATCCAAACCACTGAAGTCTTTAATATTTCTTCTTACTTCTCATACAGAATATTTTACTTCTAAGATACTGCTGTCATTGTGCCTTAATTTATTCTGACAGTGTGAGCCACGACTAATCCTCCTTCTGAGTGCTGAGCACAGGCATAGACCAAAAACCCAAATCAGCACCTCTCCTTCCAACTACTCACCTGACATCCTCTCCAGAAAAGGGGAAGTGGATGAATGTGGCCTTCAGGAGACAGGGAATGCAAAGAAGGGTGAATGTATCACTCCACATCCTGCTCTGAGCAGGAAGTACCTGCAATTTGAAGAGGAGAAAAGGTGTAAGGTTGGTTTTTCAATGTCTTGCAGGAGAGGAGAGGCAGTTCCCAACAATCGGGTTTCTAGGGGCACATGTGAACTTAATGATGCTCTGATAGACCTTACACCTCAAATATCAAAAAAACCCCAAGCAATCAGACAGGTCCAGCTCCATTTTCTTCACTGGCAGAACAGAATAACACAGATTTTTCAGTCAGCGATTAAAGAGGCTGAAGCTTTCTGCTGCTAACGGAGGGTGTTTATCAGCACTTCCCAAAAGATCTGCTTCATAAACCAGTTATCCAGAGGTCACTCACCCACACCTGAGACCTTTCAGGAGGAGGCACCTCATGACTCCTCACCCTCTGAGCCTGACCCGTCCCCCTTAGTGGGACCCTTTGGGCCACCACCGTGTGGTGCTTTCCCAAGTTTGTAT